TTAGTAATTGAGCTCACGTCCCCCTGCGACGTCCTGACGCTGTATAATTACGACTCATTAATGATAATTACAGCCGATTACTCTGCTGTTATGCTAGGCTAACTAAACTCATTTGTAAAAGCCACACAGTAAAGCAGTGTATCGAGAAGATTGAGGGATAACCTTAATCCTAAATCACGTGTTCAAATTTGTTTTATGTATTTATTTATTCTTACATCAGAGTAAGAAAACGAAACAAAAATGCAGTCATTAGATTCAGGCTGCATGCAGACTAACCATGATGTTTCTCTGCTTCCTCTTGAGGCTTCCTTCACTGTTTCGTTACTGCTGCACTGTCGTGATCTTTAATCGATAAAAAGATGGTTTAAAAACGTCGTTCTCAGTCGTTCAGAGGAATAGATTAAATCGAATTATCAGCCACTACTCCAGCAACAGTTAGACTCACAACATAGCAAACGTGATAGTGACCACAATGATTTTATAACTGAACTTAGTGGAAATATGGGCTACGTGATAACCAGTAGACACAAAAATATACGCTCTCAGCTTGCACCATGCTGTCGAAATGCCCACAGCCTTCGCAAGAGCTTCGCGCACAGTGAGAGAGCATTTTAGGCTTTCAACTTTTCGATCAGGAAGTGAAACTTTAGTTTATGAGTCGCATTTAACAACGCTGTACAGGCCAGAGGCAGGCTGCACTAATCCTACATGTAGCCAGCACCCACCACTGGTCTATATGCTGGCCAACATTACATTTGATGACATTTTTTAATGCAGGAAAAGATCCTTGGGTGATTTAAAAATGGTGTGATCACATAGTATGTCCAGCAGAGAGGCTTCAATTCTCAGAGACTTGCGTAAAATGTTAGCGAGACAACTTGCAAAGCCTTCAGTCTTGTACAATGCATTATTTTGGTCTTATGGTCATATACAATGCAAGAATGTGCTCTGTGTCCCTGTATGACCACACGGGGGCACTGCTGAGCATGTTACTGTGGCGCTCATGTTCACTAAAGAGAACTGAGTGTATTTTCATCGCAGGCTTTGATGTGAATCCAGGCGGTGTGGGTGACACGGTGCAACAATTGTTGAGGCAACTACAAAAAGTCTCTCGTGAAAGATGCCGCGGCTCGCTTATCTCTTCTCGAGATGTGTGTTTTCATTTGAGCCCTGACTGTTTCTGCCTGGGGTGCTTTACTCAGAGGACGTCTGTGTGTGTGTGTGTCTCCGCCTGCTGAGACAGAATGAATATGCCACTGTTTATATTCCACCTATTTCAGCAGTCAGGGTTTCACAAACAGAAAATGAAAAAAAAAAAAAAAATTCAGCCCAAGTTGTTTGTGCTGAGTGATTTCTGGGAGTGTCGGCATGCATCTGTAGTTGCACTTTTGGGAAAGAAGTGTATCTGTTTATGCATGTGTGTGTGTATTTGTGCGCACGCACCCGCACAGGAAATAGAGATATCAGTGGTCTTTTTGGGGCACGGAGATAACGGCGCTCCTCTGCTGGCTTAGTATTATCTCAGTCACAGAATAGTGACAGCAGATTTAGAGGTGAGAAAGCAGAACACATTTCAAATAGTCTGGGTCAAATATATATGCCAGCAGACAGATATCACTCCCTCTATTACATACCTCACTCCATTACCTATTCTTTAACAGTAACACACCCTCCTAACTTTATGTGTAGAATGGGA